CACAAATATTGAGAATTTGTCCGGATTCAGGTATAGTTGCTCGAAGGCAGAAAGAGGAGGGACCAAGAGCGTATCTATGGCATGGACAATCCCTACATCAAGATGTTAGCCGTGTCGATGTTAAATGGCGGGACTATGTGGTTTATGCACCATTAGCGGCTTTTATATCCGTTTTAACGACACTCGCGTGGAAGTTGAGGGTGAAGTCGGGTTTGAGTCGCTGAAAATGGTGCTTTGCATGGATCCGTTGAGGTTCCCCACCATACATACCATCAACGGGAGCATAGGTGGTCTCGTAAGTGGTGTTCCTAGCGAGAGCACTCCCGGAGAGTGTGTGAGGGAGGATATGATAAGACAAGACTGCGGTCACGACCGCTCGCTTGAAGTTTCTCTTCAGAGGATCGTCGTCCTCTGAGATGAGGGCTTCAAGTGCAATGAGAGAATTTGAAGGGTCGACCTCCTTGAGCTCGTCAAGGTAACAATCCTTCTCCTCGGGGGCATAAAATGTGCCCCAGCCCCAGCCATTGCATCTATCCGAGCGCCAGTCTTTGGTTCTTGGTGCTCGAAGTACATAGTCTGGCGGAGCAAAGAGAGTCAATCTATAGAATCGCCGTGATCAGCGTGTACCTGTACGTGACTAGGAAGAGTGAACAGGTCGTGTACCTCGCAGATGGATTCTTCAGGATGTGGGCAATATCTTCGCTGTACTCGACGAGTTTGAAGAACCGCGTAAAGCTTAAAATCAGAGGTGTTAACTTTCTAAGTATGCGAATGATTGAAACCATCTCACTCACTGTTGGTCCTTCTCCAGGAAATCGTATATCGTTTGCTTGCTGGCATCCGGTTCCCAGTTGCGAGGAGGTCCGACAGGCGCTGAGAAGTTCTCAGGGAGACCGCTAAAGAGTTGATAGTCAACGTCGGACGGAGAAGTGACGACGAAGGGTTGCTGAGGCCCGATGAACTGTGAGGTTTCCACGTCAAAGCCGTGTATAACGCTAAACACGCTGAGAGCGACAATAAGCAGTAAACAGCTGAAGGCCATGCCAGTGCTACTAGTAAGATACGAGTCGAGATCGGAAATGGGAGACGAAGAAATATCTCAGGACCGGTAAGATTCGCGATTATATATGGGGAGAGCACTTGAAAGCGTCAAGACCGCTGCGGTGACTCCCACCTGACAACATCGATTGCTGCATCTGTGACGGCCAAAGACATATCAGAGTTCCGTACAAGGAGGACAGATGGAAGCTACATACGCGCCCATACTGGAGAATATGTAAGGTTTGGCGGAACTGGTGACCTTCCTCGGACCCGCGGGTGTATACGGTTCTGCCAAACTCACTAACCATCCGAGATACTGTACGCAGCCTGATATCGACGCTGTCTACTCAGGATTGGGCTCTAGTCCACTTTCCTTCAAACAATACATTGCGAGGTTTCTCGTGAAATTATGTACTCACCTTGAGATCATAAATGAAGTATATTCATGAGGAGCGGTGAGGGGGACGAAAAGGGTAGCGAACGTCAAGACTGCGATCTCCACCCATATGGACCTGCATCGAGAGGACTCATAGTGGAGGTCGCAAGCGGCCAGGCGTTCCGATAAACCAACATAAGCCAGACGACCCCCAGTATGAAACAGAGGTACTTGATGGATCTACGAGCTCGAGCAGGAGAGGTTGAAACCGTGCCAATAGCTGTGATAGTTGCATCATGATAGTGATAGGCCTGTGCTGTATGGAGGCAACTAGGCGCCGAGCGTCACGCACCGGACGGAAGCAAGGAAGGGGGGATCAGGCGAGCGAACGCTGGAAACAACCCCGCCAACCGTCCAGGACTCCGAAAACCGCTAGACGGTCGGGATATGATTTCAGTGCCGAAAGTGACGTGCCGTGGAGATGCTGAAGTTGCGCACTACAGTACTGTGATGCTGGGAAAGCAGGACCTCCGGTCAGAGTAAAGATCGCTCTTATAAAGTCGAAGAAAAGAGATGTGCGAGAAGCTTTGCCGTGGAGGGCGGGTTTTGGAGCGGATTGCTAGAGGACGAGGCCGCCCGGCACCGAGAGAGGAAGGGACTCCGGGTGTGTGAGAGGTACCTGAGCTGGCGGTTGTGAGTCTCGTTATGGCTTTCCGCTGATTCTGTGAAGCATGCGTATCTCGAAAGTGTTCCAAGAACATCGTTGCTACTTTGAGGCCTACTCCTGAGGGACTCGGAGGAGATGTTGCAAGACGAGAGTGACAGTTTTCCCTGGACGCGTCGTGTCACGCGCCTGTCACACTCGCTCTTTCTTTCTTACCATGGCAGACAGTGTCCGCCAGTACGGCGAACTCGCGACACAGTTGCTCATAGAATCACGCAGATCAACGGCAACAGACTTCCTTCTCAAATACAACGACGTCCTCGTCCGCTCAATCCTCCGAGAACAACGCCAACTCGAGGCTCTCATCCAAGACACACTCCAGATCCAGGATGCAAATGGCCTTGGAGACGACCCCCACATGCCCACGATCCTCCTATACCAAACAGCAATTCTTCGCAACAAGCGATGTCTCCTCGCGTACCACCACCATCGTCTCGAACGCCTCAAGGACATGTTCTGGTCGGTTGGAGGTGCACTCCCCCTCCTACTCTCCACCCATTCCACGTCCACCGGAGGCTCAACAAGCATGAACGCGCCCGCTAACTCTGCAGACGTTCGCTCGAAACTCTCGCCCCACGAAGTCGACTTTTTGCGCTCGTACAGCGACTCCCTCCTCCAGTTCCGATCATCCGTCCTCGCGACTGAAGAAGTCGATCTATTCGCTCCTATCACGCGTCCTCCAAAGGATCTACACGTTCTGGTTAGGGTCATCAGGGACTGCGGTGTGATTCAAACGGAAGTCGGCGCGATTGATTTCAGGAGGGGACAACGGTTTCTCGTCAGGCGGGCGGATGTTGAGCATCTCATCGTACAAGGATACCTTGAGGAAGTATAAAGGTGCGTACGCAGCTTATTTTGCTCAAGTATCCTTAACGATCGATACCTAACCAGAGATCCGGCTTTGGCAACGCGTGGATGCGACCTTTGGACGCGGAAGGGGAAGACCACAGCACGACGGGTTCAAGCTCACGGCCATACCATGCTCAAGAAGGCTGATAACGCGAGACCAGTGCTTCATCTCCTTGGGACACGCTCGCTCACACATTGCTCGGACATACTTCGGCTGGGCAGGGGCACCGGATTCATATCGAAAGGTTCCAGTCGAAACAATGGAGTAGTGGTAGTGGTAATTCGGCACGGCTGCCCACTCACGCTCCCCCCTTACAAATAGTCCCTCCCCCGGCACTCCTCTCACCAGCACTTCCACTGCCTACCAACCCAAACCTTCCCAACGCCTCAAACAACGCCGCGTGGGGTGCGGGTTCGATCGAGTCAATGGTGTGAAGATGGATTAGTCCGGTGATAGGAGAGAATGTGTATGTGCAGTTTCTGCGGGAGACAAGGGAGGGTTAGTACGAGAAAGGAGGGGCTTGCGAAGGGAGGAAGGAAAGGAGGACATACATCTCCCATTCGGCCGGAGTGCCGCTTACGCGTCCAGCACCAGTCACGCCCAATCCCATCTGAAAGCTCCTCTCACGTATACACCTGTAGACGTTCTTTCCCCCCTGCGCTCTCGTGTTCTGCGACGTCTTTGGTCTAGGACGTCCATGCACGCGTGCTCGTCGTATGTCCACCTTCAAATCCGTGTACAACGCGTTTAATGTATGTCGGACGAACACCGACGATGCGATGTACAAGTGTAAGCCTTGAAGAATAGGTCGCTTAGGTTTTGGAACGCCGAACGTCGAAGAAAAAATGTTTCACGTACCTTCAACTCTCAATGTGCTAGGCAACGGTGTGGGCAACATCACAGGAGGTTTATACTCCAACCTCACCCTTGGACTATATATCGACTCCCCCTCTTTCTCCTTCTCCTTCCCTTTCCCCTCGCCATTCCTCCCTCTCCCAATATCCTTGAACGGCGACAGCAGCGTGTCCGTTAACGACGCAGAAGGTGTTGAGGCATGTGAAGCAGGGAGGGGTGAGTCCGAGTCTGAAGACGGTGTGAGAGAGGAGATGAGACCGGTGGTGAAGAAGGAGGGGAGGGTGGTCTGGAGGATGTATATCGCACGACCTGAGGCGAAGGATTAACGGCAAAGGAGTTCTGGACGGTCGTATCAGATGCAACGCTAAAAGTAGTTTCGTCGAGGGGAGCGAACATACCTGTGCGGATTTCCCATTCTTGGTCTGAGATCTCACCGCCCTCGGTGTCGGGGTCTTCTTGTTGTGGCGAGGGTGAAGTGGTTGAGGTATTGCCGGATGAGAAGGCAAGAGAGGGCCTGTCATGCATGTTGGAGGCTGAGGAGAGGTTCAATACCGCGACGGCATTCGCAAGTTGCTCCCGTTGTACCTCCTCGCATCCATGAACAGGCATGAGAGAGCTATAGCTTGTTAGTGTGAAGCTGGGGTGGAAGAACAATATTGGGCCCGAAGGTGGGTTTTGTGCCGAGCTGCTCGGCGTCGAAGATGAGGCATCGCGGTGTCCGGACTGTTGCAAACCAACAACAGCAGGGATATGCCTCGTTGACGGTCCTGGTCCTGGTCGGGAGAGATGAGGACGACGAACGAGGGAAGGAAGTCCGATTCGTGCTTTCGCCATGATCTCCCAGGAGGAGTAGTTTCCAAGTTGACGAAAGACGTCACTGAGCGAAAAAAGAGACAAGGCAAAAAGAAGTGGACACACTGGGAATTGAACCCAGCACCCCCCGCAGATCGCAGCTCTTCAGGGAAGATCCTGCTAAGCGGATGTGATAACCAACTACACCATGTGCCCAATAAGAGCCCACGTCTGTGGGGCAATATTGACCTCAGTTGTATGAGGTGGGGAGTCGACTCGGGGAGGATGTTTCGGTCAGTTGAGTTCAAAGCATGAAGAGCGACAAGAATACGAGAATGACCGTTAAGCCACGTGTTATCATTGGGCACATGGTGTAGTTGGTTATCACATCCGCTTAGCAGGATCTTCCCTGAAGAGCTGCGATCTGCGGGGGGTGCTGGGTTCAATTCCCAGTGTGTCCACTTTTTCCCACTTGAGCACGATGGATAGAGTTTTTGAAGGAACTTGTAATATATTTTATGTTAGAGAGAGGCCCAAGCTTGGTACTACAAGCAATCAGCGATCTTCGGCCGCACAACATCAAACGGAGAAAGCAAAATACAGAAAACAACAAAGTACACCTGACATGTACATCCCATCCGTCCTTCCCTTGGACAGCTTTGACAGGTACAGCTGGTCTACGCATCTGGCTGGATAATCATGCACAGATCCAGGTTGAAGTGACCCTCTCGCAGTGGCTGCATTGGAAAACCACTGGAAGATGGCCATCCTTGCACAGAAGTTTAGCCAGGCCTGTGCGGGGCTGGGTTATCGTGATGTGCTCTTGGCCGGTCGCGCCAACCAAGCTGATGTTGTGCCAGTGGACGATTTTCGTGACAAAGGCAAGATCTGAGGCGACGCGACGCTGTGCAAGACCGTATCACTACGTCTTCTTGTCAAACCTGTCGCTGCGTTATGAGAAATGGCACAGAAAGCCTACAAATCGCACCGTGTGAAAGAGAAGAAGTACCGTGTCTCTCATTTGCATCCGCGTCTGAGAGGCTTTGCCGAACTCTTGCCTGTCCTTCCACCACGAAATCCACAGACAACGACGAGAGCTGCCTGAAACCATGCATTGGCAAAAACGCAGACGATCCAAACCTGTAGGCTACTGACACAAGACACAGTCACAATCGCATCCAGCCGCACATGAAAAAACCCACTGTCTGAAGCCTAAGGGGAAACCCGACCATATTCCGCAGTCCGTGATCATGCTCTTTCTGTGCATGAAAACTTCGAGCACTCACAGCCCTCCTCCATGGCACAGGATGGTCTCGTTATCCTGCTGGAGGTCCTCCTGGCTGAACACCGTGACGTTATACCACGATGGCGATACTTCAGCGCCTGCTGTCGATGAGCGCCAGGCGCAACCTGCGAGACAATGGCTGCACCCTACCAGATCCACATTTTGAGGAAAAAGCTCGACCTCCTCGGTCCCTCACCCCTATCGTGATATCATCCAGCCCGATCTTAGTATTCTTCCTGTTCCGTGACGAGTGTCGTTGGTCATCTGTCCTTATTTCTACGGAAGTACTCGCCTTACTCCCTTGGTGTCAGGATTAAATGGAGAGTGGTTGCAGAGGAAGGGGGAGGCCGCAGAAGGGCCCTCGATTTTGTGGGCTGAGTTTCTGCGCTTAAGGTGATACGTCAGGGAGAACTGGGGATGGAGGTAAGTCCATAGATTCATGCGCTTTTTTAATTTTATACGTTCCTCCTGGCCAACTTTATGGCTCTTTGGGAGTTGAAGCGGAGGGGTTGCTGAAGATTTTCCCCCTGTTTTTCAATTTCTTGTCACCGTCAGGTTTCCAGGTGGTTCTCCTCGTTTGGTGTACAATCTCTTCGTAGCGACCATCAAGTCGTATTCGACCCAGGCCAAATCTCCTTTAAGTCCCTCGATCTCAAATTGTCCAAGTGATCTGGCGCGATGGCCTAAGTATTTTTCTTGTTTTGTATCCGCCCATGTTTCATCTGCGCATTCACTATTTGCAACCAGGTTATCTTCCATACGCCATCCCCAAAGTAGTTCGACTCAAACAATCTTTCGAGCTTATCTTACCTCAGACTTCTTGATGGCCCTATAGGCTCGAGCACTGGTTTAGCTACAATCCCACCGCCAAAGACCCAAAAGCTCTTCCCTATAATACTACTCTGCAAAGCTGGCAACAACTCCCGTAAGAATCTGGCAAGTGACCATCCCCTGTCACACAAGTGATCCCTCTCCTGACCAATTGCTATTGAACTCCAACAGGCCATTACTTACTGCAAACCGACTTGCGACTTGTCAACCAGATTGTAGTCACGACCGGACTTGTCTCGCACCGCTCGAGCGATATCCTCTGGGATACGTCCGGATTGCTCCCCTTGACTCTGGATACAACTCCACTCTCCGTCATTCTCACTGATCGGTTTCGTTCCCGCTGATTGTGCAACGAATAAACGAATGGAGGATCGTATCATTGTCCAACTATGTTATGATTCCTCCTGCAACTCGGAACGAGGAAGAAGACTGGAAGCTCAGCGCTCAGCGCTCAGGGTCTGAGTTTATTGGGGCTATGAGTTGGCCATTGTATTGTGCAGGGGGAAATGACTCGAGTGACCTGCTGTACACAGCACAGCGGCGCGCTGCACTCTAGAAGACTACAATGCCATTCTTTGTCGAGCAATTCAGTGAAATATATCCTGTCTCAAACCAAAGAATCTTCTACTGAACGAATGTGCCCGAAACATACCAAGTGCAAGTCTTCGAGCTTCAAGCCATGACCGCTGGGCGATATATTATCATAGTACTCAATTACATCTCATCCATGATTGTCCTCTATTCCCAAAATCAAAGAAAGGCAAGCTTATGTTTCTCCATTGACCAGGTCCTTTAAGATTGGCCGCCCTCTCAGAAGTCCATCACTGAACGCACTAGTCTTCACCTTCTTCGGCGTTCGCTTTGTCTCAATACCTTCATCCAACGCCTCCCCAGGACCACGCTTATTCGGTGAAGGGGCAGTGGAAGCATGCATCTGGTCCGCGTCCTTTGGCAAACGAAGAATCCAGCCCTGCTTGTCCATCAGGGTGAAGAACTCCCCGAGCAGGGGTGCGGATTGGAGAGTTTTGCGGGATCCGAAAATGACTAACTTTGAGCGAGCACGGGTGAACGCGACGTTCATTCGCCTCCAGTCCTTCACCAGGTCTCCGATCTACGAGAACGACATCAGATGTCGGAGCTAGGGTAACAGAAACGAAGCCAACGTACCTGATTTTGATCGTTCGAGCGCACCATGGAGATGATGATACAGTCTTTGTCGCGCCCTTGACTGCGGTCAGCGGTGAGGATGTCAACATCCTTCCACTCTTGGAGGAGGTACGAAAGAAGCTTGATTTGCTGACGGTACAATGAGATGACTCCGATTTGTCGCTGCTCGACTCCTCCAAGAATAAGGTATTCTGTGAATTGGTGTACTAGATATGCTTCAGTGATATTCTCCGTCAGATCTCCCACTCGTGAGTCGTGAGCGGGGATATCATCTGTGTCCACGAAGACCGCTTTGCAGCTGGCAGATCTGGGATAAGCATAAATTTGCACAGAATGTGTCAAATACTCACCGGGGGTCAAGAAGCCGCCCCAACCAACATGACTCTCCACCACAGCTTTCTTTTGAATGTAAGCTCCGGACAAAGTCACGGTTGGGAATAAGCAAGGCACGACGGGCTGTCTCCTCATTACCGCAACGCAGGCGACCACTGTAGATTAGATGGTTTGAAAGCGTCATTATGTCTTCGTTCATCCTGTATTGTTCATTGAGATCCACCACGGCAGCAGGATGGGCATCCGAAAGCCTTCGGAAAAGAGAAACGTCAAGACCACCTTTCCTAGCGTCCCGGTTTCGTACCAGTGGAGGAAGCTGGAAGTGATCCCCGACGAGGACAAACTTGTCTGCAAAGCGCAATGGTCCCAGACATGTGGGTAACGTCACTTGAGAAGCCTCGTCAACAATACAGTAGTCGAATGTTCGGCGAGCGAAAAGGGGGCTATAGAACTTGCTCAATAGATGGCTCTCGCAAGTGCGTCTATTGTACTCACTGGTCAATTGCTAAACAGGTGGTAGCCACTACTGCAGGAGACATGATCTGCTGCTCAAGCTGCTCCACAGACGCTGCTGGTTGTCGAGCGGCCAGAGTGAAACCGTGGACTTCAGGGTGAATCTAATGATGGTCAGTTCGGTAACGTACATTGCTACGCTGAGTTCACCTTGTCAACACTTCCAAGTCGCAGTATCGAGAAGTCAGCTTTGTCCTTCAGCTTCATTAGAATGGTGTCCACGGCAGAATGGGTGTGGGATGTCAAGAGTACAGTTTTGTTCATATGCACCAGGGCTCTAATGATTGTAGCAATCACGGTCGTCTTCCCAGTTCCGGGCATCCCAAGGATTAAAGCGTAGTCTTGGGCACGAAGGACGTGCCGCGCGGCTAGCCGCTGATTGACATTGAGGTTTTTAATCTCCTGCGCCACGTTACTATGAATGGTCGGCAGCATCTCCTCGCTCCAATCCGCAAACTGAGGAGGGTCCAAATCGACGACGAGCTTGAGCCGCCTCGTGTCTCCTTCTGCGTAGAAGAGACGGGCAAGATTCTCCCGTACCCTTGCCATACCACCGAACAGCTCGTCCTTGTCAATCCTGAATACGACCGAGGAAGCGGGACAGGCCTTGCGGATGCCAATCTTCTTGAGATCCAGAACATGATCCACACCTAGGATGACCTCCTTCGGGGTGAGGCCTACGATGAACCCCCTGGCTAGGGCGAGCAAGTCCGGCTCTACGGAGACAGTGATAGCATCGCCCAGGCTCATATGTCCGCTGAGCAGAGAGGAGATTCCCGACTCAGACTTCATGAAGCGGTAGGTATGCTGATGGATCTTGCTTTCCCTCTTCGAGAGGGCTTTCAACGCGTCTGGTGAAGGTCGGTAGGTGGTATCGAGAATCATCGAGCTGAAGCACCTTCCTCTCTCTTCTCGCTCAATGGCTCGCATGGTCCACAGCTCCTTTCGAAAACGAAGCAAGTCTTGTTCTTCGAACGAGAGAAGCGCCTCCCATTTTTTGAAAAAGCTCGTATGTGCGGGCGTCAAATGAGATGTCTTCAATGCGTACATGTCCGCAATCTCGGAGGACTCGTCCACGACATTCTCCACGGCCTACAGATGTTATTAGCGTACGAAGTTGATTATGAGAGATGGTTGCTTGCCTTGCGATAGAGCATGCAGGTATCCAGAGTATAACACTTGCCACAAATGCGTGAGTCATCGATGGTGCGGGGCAAGAAAGGCTCTGCTTCAATATCGGGCCCCATTCGTTCTGAGTCCTCTGCCGCTTTGCTAACTTCTGTCTTGTCACCTTTTTTCGTCACCCTTCTCATCATGTACCCCGCCATTTCG